GACAAAAAAAAAAAAAAAAAAAAAAAAAAAAAAAGGCAGATTAGTCACACACAAAAGAAGGAGCAGAGGGAGGGAAAATAGAGATGGACAGACATTATGTCTCATTTCTTGATAGTTTTTTCGTAAGCCTCCCAATGCAAAAATACAACCTTTCATCTTTAGATCACATCTTTCACAGTAGGGAGTACACATTCATCTTCGCCTTCCACATACTTCCGGATAAGAAACTCCCTACCTTGTCTGAGCAGACTTGACTCCCCAAATTCTTACCCTCTTCCGTCTCCTCTGGCTTAGTAGATCACAGTGGTTTCATGTTTATCTCATGATAATTCTTAGGCAAATATGAAAGGAGTAAGGATGACAGAGTTGTGTACACATGTCCTGTCAGATTATGATAACTCCATTTACACTCAATGAAAAATTCTTATTTGGGGCTCTACTTAAGACCTAAAGTTCAATTATCACAAATTATGCCAGAAGCAACCAGCCTCACTTTCAATCTAGGAATACTTGCATTCTCCCTGTGGAGTAAATGACACCATATCAAACAGTATTTTGAGGTTTTTAATTATCATCCTGCTACAGTTAGGTCGTTAAACGTTCTCCACAAGTCTATGTGTTACAGGCTTGCCAGCTGTCCCAGTGGCACAGTTGGGAGGTGCTCTGGAAACTTTAAGAGGTGGGACTGCATGGGAGGCCTTAGGTGATGGGTTATTCCCCCGAATGGGACTGGGGGACGCTGACCTCTTCCCTGTTCTTTTTTGCTTCCCTGACACTGCTGGCTAGCACATCCACCCAAGGGCAAAGGCAATGGGCCTGCCAGACCTTGGACTAGAACCTCCAAAACTGACAGCCTGAATAAATCTTTTCTCTTTGTAAGTTAATTATCTCAGGTATTTCGTGCTGTGACAGAAAGGTGACTAACATACCTTCTATAAATTAGCTGATCCTTCAAAAAAAGTTATCTGGGAATACCATCCAAAAACTAAACTCTTAATTTTTCTTTTTTTTTAATTTTCTAATTGTC